TTGTAAAAACGTGTTATACATTGTTTTCCAATTTTCAACTTGCACTTTCTACTAAGAAAACATGGTCTTGGAGGAAAAAAACAAGTCAATAATTGCATTACGATGTTTTTATCAGCAAGTCAAGATTCATTCTTCAAATATTTCCAAAAGTATTTTTTTTTGGTGATTTATTCATGTTTTTTACCCAAACCGTCAATAGCAAGTCCTTCCTGAAAATTGTTTGAAATTTAAGACGAGCCTGCTGAAAAGACGGCCCCACTTTCATCGCACAGTAGTGAAAGAGAAAGTCGCAAAACCTGAAACAATCCTGTAAAGGCCAATTCCTGAATAAAATGGAATATATTTCAGAATCAGTCGCACGTAACTTAGAGAAGGAAGAAAATGCAAGCGTTCACAACGCGTCATCATGGAGTATGCCTGATGGATGACATGAAAACAAGATGACAGATTTTGCTTTGTAAAATTCAATCTACAATGACTCACCACATTTTTCAGTGTGTCCCATTTTCACGAAACATTAATATCTTAAAGGATGAAACAATTACGTTCGTATTATCACTGACAAATATCACGCTTTAACGTTAAGAGAAATTAACAATTATTTTGAACCAGAAATTATAATTGGTCTTATAATTATTATTCCTTTCGACCATCAGACGGACATTAGTTTTACAATCTCGGCTACGTCAGTGATTACTGTACAGTGTCGTACAAACAAAACCTTTTTCTTTAGCGTCTCTGTGTGGCGCCATTGTAATATCCACTGCAAAGCGGCTGAGAAGAGATTGAGGTCAGCCGTAAGTGGAATGCAAAGTTTTCCTCATTACAGTCCACATTCTGGGCACAATACCTCACAGAATAAAAAGGTTTGTATCTCTACTCCAGGCGTTAGTCAGAAACTGTCAATACAAGAAATTGAATTTAACACAAGCCAACCCATATTTCTGTAACAGTACTGTTAATCACGCTTCAGTCGAATGTATCACTTCGGGATCTCGTCACGACTCGGAGGGCATTCGTGCGGAGCGGGAACGCCCCCTACCGACGAGATTCGTTCACGAAAATACAATGGAATGCAAACATTGACCCTCAAGCAAGACCAAGTGGTTGTATTCTAGCCAAAATTATAGCTCTCATATAAGACAACGCATTAAAATCACTCAACACTTACAACATTTACATACATTTTTGAACACATACCAGTTAGGACGATCGTTATATTGGCAAAGATGGATTTTATTCTATTTACTAGGCAATGTGAATTTAAAATGTGTAAAAATATAAGGGTACACATTTTTAGAGAGATTAAATAACATTAACGAGTTTCAGTGTATATTAGAAGTTCAGTGGAGTACTTTTTGGATTCGTATTTTTACTTTCTCGCATATTAAACACATAGTACAGGGGAAAATATGTAGTGCTACAGAAAGAAACGGTGATTTTCTGCAGGATAATTCGTATTGTATTTCCCTGATATCACAAAACCGGATAATTCTTTTTCATATGTGTCGTAAATTACTTTCTCTAACATGTTGTGTAGTCAGAATCTATGTATCTGATCCGTGATAATGAAAAATTCGCCGTAGGAAAATCCTCTGTCCTTCCTTCTGTCAGCTCATCTGTCCGCTCGCCTGTCCCCCCGCCTGTCCCCCGTCTGTCTCCCATCTGTCTCCCATCTGTCTCCCATCTGTCTCCTGTCTATCAGTCCGTGTGCCCCTCTGTGAACAGTGCTAAAGGCTAAACCGTAAGCAGAATGTTCGGCAAAATTGATAATCCCAGATTGAACTGACTGATATCGCGGTCTCTCGAATTTTGACGCAGATATTTTGATTTTGGGGAATACTTTACACAAAGCCTAAAGGAAACATTCCTTTTTTTGAAAAATGGTTGCAAATTTTTAAATTAATTATTTTTTATCGAATCGAGTAAAGTTTGCCTATACAAATAACTTAAGTCCGAATTTGATAAAGTCTTTGATTTTCCAAACTTGTAAAAGTTCAATTTTTTCGGCGTTTTCCTACAACCACAATGTTGAAAATAGATATTTTTTCTTCAAATCAATTTCGTTTTCCACAATTATATCTTTAATTAATGTCGCCTACATTTTTAATTACTAATGTTTCGGAAGATTTTGTGAAATATGGAAAATAATAAAAGCAAGATTTTGTCATAAATTGGTTCAAATTTTTTGTTGAAACTTTTTGTACAGATAGTGCTAAATGTTCTAAATAAGACATTAACGCCAATTTGAAGTATTATTTTGATTTTTTTAAAACACACAAATGTATTTTTTAAATATGTCTCACGTAGTGAATTACATTTATATCAAGTCCTTTTTATACATTATCGTATTTGTTAGTTCAAATGCTTGAAATTATTTTTTCTGAAGTTACTCAAACATTCAAAAGTTTTCATTGAAAATAAGTGGAAAATTGCGCAAAATTAAAGAGTAAAATATAATAGGCTCGTGGTCACCTCAGGTAATTTTTTCAAAGACTAGTTACCGGTTTAGGTAGCTCACAGCTTCAATAGATGTCACAGCTTCTGACCGCGAAGGTCATAGGGTTCGAATCCTGACAGGGGTAAGAGTTTCGACACTAGCTAGATCGCTAGGTCGAATTCAGCCACTGTCTGGAGGAGAATTCTAGCGGCTGGCTATCGGTAGTTTTCCATGGTTTCTCCCATCCACACCAGGCCGGAGCAGCACTACCCTAACAAACAAGCCATGGAGCGCGCGCGATCTTTCCTTCCTCTTTCTTACCCTATCCTCACCCCTTACACACTTACACTTACATGGACTACACTACCGCACATGTCGAGGGCACAGTGCTCGTCCCGACTGGGGCAGTGCCCCCTGGTTCGGAAAAATCCCGCAAGCTGGCGTGTAGATCGGCGCCGGGTCTCGGCATCCTCTGGGAGAAGATCATCGCCATCTCTCGCGATCAAAACACGCACCACACTTATGGGACTCACAACCGTAGCAGTCGACCAAACAATTAGTCGAGACTAAGGATGAAATACTCGGAGAATTCGGATTTTATATGAAGAACCAAAAGGAAAATGCAAATAACGCGAATCCCAGGTTTACTGAATTCTAGAAGACTCAATCAGTGGCATCGCCGTCGCACACTCCTGTTTGCTCCTACTACAAGAACTAATTTACACCCTTCTTTCGTCCCTTTTTACTCTCTCACAAATGGCATACATAGTATAAAAAAACTATTGTAATTGTAAAAGTAATTGTAAGTATTATAACCGCGAATTTTCGGCAACAAAACTCGTACTATGGTCTCTAATATCACAAAAATTGATAATTCTTGCTCCAATATGCAGTTAATAACTTCCTGTAATACATTGTTTAGTTGGAATTCACGTTCTGTGTTTTTGTGGATCCTTGATAACGACAAATTGCTTTACAACTGAATTGACACGTCAGTCCTTCCGTCCGTCTGTCCATGAACATCGCTAACTGCTAAACTGTAAACAGACTGTTCATGAAAATTAATATTCCTTGATAGACATTTCTGAGATCGCGGTTCTTTGAATTTGGAACGGACAATATCATTTTGATTCGTACTTTACATAAAGCGGCAGCATTTTCAAAATTTTTTCAAAGTGCAATTTTTTCTCTAATTTTTTGTGATTCTTTGCATTTTCTAAAATTGCAAAAATTTTACATAATGTTTCAAACTATGTACTGTTATAACTTCAGTAGTTTAGAATATTTTTTGTGGCCTTTTTTTCTCCCCGGTTGACCCAGAGTTCATTTAACCGTGATAATTGCGAGCCCAGTGTAATATTCTCATCCAGCCAATTTTCACACATGAATTACGCTTAATACAAACCACCCCTTGTCAGAAACGCCTTCTCTGCCTTACCCCTCAAGCGACGGAGCTTCCACACGCTAGCCAACTCGAAACGCACGCGCGAGACCGCTCGTCGAGGTTTGCGCAACTAATTAGTTTGTGTTGTCAGAGCTCGGACTGCCTTCCGCGATCGCAATCGGCCTGTGTGGGCCCGAGGGTCCAGACACCAACGCCTTTTTTGTTCGGTTCGTTTCACGATCTCCAGGCGGCCACACAACTTTTCCTTAAGTCTGCTTTACACCAACCAGACTAAGCAAGAAGAGAATGACTTTCTACCTGAATGCGAACTGTGCCACATAGTACATTCTTGCCAAGTGCCGTCTTCTTTTTTTCTTATTCTTTTTCAAATTATTTCGCAACCAAGACAGGAGAAAATAAGGCCCAGTGAGATGTAAAACTATATATCATGAGAAGACAACTTCTTTCCTTACATTCACTCTCACTTTCAAAAACATGACGAGGTTGTAACCACAAATACCAGTAAAATATTTTTACTGGCAAACAAGCAGCATGTAGTATTTGTGTGACTATCTAACTAAAAAAATCAGTTCTACGTAACAAACTTACTAGCAAATCGCATAATCAAAATCATTTATTTTAGTAATTATTCCTTACAGTAGAAAATATTTCGTCAAAACGTCATGAAAAAATGTAGGTAGTATCAGAAAAAAATGTTTACCAACAGAAAACCAATATCGATTCACAAGAAAAGTTACAGATTTAAAATATTATGTTGGAGGAGAATGTTTTTATTCTCAACGGAGACGTATATTTTCCAATAAAGTATTTTTCTCTACATACTGACTTTGGTGAGAATTTAATGAATCTTTACAGAAAAAAAATATCTTCACGTAATGCAACATTGACGGTTTTTTTCTTGTGCTCCAACGATATTTAAATTTGAAAAAAAAATACAAAATCAAAGTGTTCGCTTAATTTATATATTTACCTACAGATTTTATTGATGGGACGAGAAGTTCAGCGACAGCACAGTATGAAGTTTACAGTTCCAAGCACAATAAACGACATCTATTGAAGCACTACACGATCAAACAAAATCTTCTCATCTACTGATCCAAAGAAAAACACATTTCCAGCTCCCGACGCACGCCCGTTTCGCCGGGGGCCTCGGACCTTGCGACACGCCGCGCCGCTGTTATTAGCCTCCTGGGCGGGCGCGTGGTCGTCGCTGCCGTCTGCTGCGGCTCGGCGCGGCCGACTGCCCCGTGTCTCCGCTCCGCCTACGCGGCTGTCTCCTGGGCCAACCCATCCGCAGTGCTGCTGCGAGCGCCCAGCGGGCAGATTCGGCAGCTCGGCAGATTCGGCTTCCACCTGGTTCACGCCGCGAGGCGGCCCCTCGACACCCAAGGACGAGGCCGCGGCCGCTCCCATCGGCCCAGCGCGGCGGAGGTTGAGCCGGGGAGAACCTCGGGGACAGTTGATGATCGATTGATTGTTGGTGACGAGTCAACGGCTAAGGTCGTTAGTCCCGTAAGTTTAGTGCATGGGTTACCAACTGTTGACGCCTGATTCACCCCGCGGGTCGGTCAATTGCGTTATTCACGACTGAATCATGTATTATACCTTTAAATGGAATCAGAAAATTACTTCCTTAATGCTCTTAATATGTTATAAACTAAGAATTAAGGAATGCTTAATTGATTTTGCAATTAATCACTGTTTCTGGTCACATCAACTGCTAAGGTAAACAATCCCGTGTAATGCATGTTTTTCTCGGGAGGTAGCGGTGATCTTCTCCCGTTGGATGGTGAGATCCGGCGCCGACTACCCGTCGGCTAAGGCGTTTTCCTCAACCAGGTACAATCGACTCCGGTTAAAGAGAACTCCTGGGGACTAACATTTTTTGTTCGCTATATGACAGGTTCACTACATCCGATGATGTCAGAATTAAATAGAATTACTCCATAATGATTTGTTTTATTAATATAGATATACAGAAATATACATTTACCGTAGGGTCTGAAAATTTCAATATTGTTTGCCTCGTACTTTGTCATTACTTATTTCTCTAGATCCTTCGCCGGAATTCGTACTCTTGATCCTGCATTGTCCTTAACTATCGTAATGCAGTCTTGGCACCCTTCAATCCCTCGTGCACTGTTGGAAGTCCCACATTTCGAAAGCCCTTTTACTCATCTAATAACATACGAGATTCTTTCGGTAGCATCAAGGGGCAAGCTGCTAATTAAACTAATTGCTTTCCTGCGCGGCACGGCGGGTATCTGGAGGCTGTGGCAGTCGCACATAGAATAGAAGGCGCTTTGACCCGTGGAATATAACGTAACATCAAGCTTGAAACTGAGTGGCATGAGGTCATCAGTAAGGTCGCACTTCCTGGTCCGCTACGTTTGCCTCACGGGAGACTTCTTCGATTACGACCTTTGACCTATATTTTTTCAAGCTGCCTAGTGTTGGAATTTGTGGCACTGAGACGATATATTCTTTTCCAGGAGGGAATTAATATCCAGATCGTCGTATTTCTTATAACTAAGTTTTCTTCTTTGTAATGTAAGTGAAACGGAACTTAAGTTCACTATAACCGAGGGTTCACTATATTCAAGTTCACTACAACTAGAGTCGACTGTTAATTCCACCAACAGTATGTCCCATGGACAGCGCTCTCGTTTTCCATGGTGCGACCCCTATTTAGATTCCCGGTGGCGGCAAAAATAGAGTTATAGATTTTTGTAAATTGCCTAGTTTAGTTACTGTGTGTCGAAGAAAACCCCAGACAGGCGAAGTTAGCTAGGAACGGTGAAGAGAATACGTCATATGTTCGCCACATATCTCTTTCCCTCTAAGCGTGGAAATTAAACTAGGCCCAGGCATTGGGGATACCGTTAGCTTGCCGGCAAAGTGGAACCATCCACCCAGTGCCCAAAACATACATACATATACAAATAATCAATGTTGGGAGCGCCAGTTGATATAGCTCAAGACTGTGGGACAAATTTTAATGAAATGTCATTTTTTTCACTTTGTAACAATGACGTTTAGTACAGAAATTTATTTTATGTTATGATGAAATGATCCATTTTTAAAAGTCATATTTTACATTTTTCATCGATTTTCAATGATAAGTCATTGTTTACCTTTACCTAACTTTTAATGCATTTTCGCTTATTTAATCGATTTTAATATCATTTTAATGGTACCTGCTTCAAACAATATTTACGAGATGCAACGAATGTTCACCACAATATTCCCTCTTTGATTTCTTCGCTCATACAATATATTGTGATGTCAACCGCTATGAGTAATCTAAGGTTGCTGTGACGCCTATCTGCGCCATTGTCAGCTCGGTCGATTTCGCTATAAATAAAGGCAGATATTTTATTTTAAAGAACAGTATAAGCCAAAACTTTGCAAGCTAAGTTCACTTGAACAAAAGAAAGAAGCCTCGATTTCATCAGTAGCATATCCAACAGCTTGAGTTGTTCACCTGAAGTGGTTTTGAAAAAAAATGGATACGTCATTTTTCTTTCTTTTTAGGGCATTTTAAAAACATTTTATGAGCATTTTATTGATCGTCTTTCGCAATGTCTTAGGTCATCGAAACCCGCCCCTTCTCACAACTATAATAATTGATGCCGGTGCACCGATTGTGATCGGGATTGAACAGGATCGTACTAGAAAGCTGATGATGGCTAAGCCATCGAAAGCTATTATTGTAATAAACAATATCGTTGGCAACGACGACTCATAATTATTTCACTGTAAATGTCAACGAAAACTTACCATAATACCAACGTTCGATCCAGACTTTCTTGAATAAAGTGTTGGATAGCCATTTTGTCTCTTGCGATCAGGTATCAATGAACGTCATGTAATATTTGTCTAAGGACTTTTTGGTTGATTATCATTATTAATCAACAATCTTTCGGGAGGTGAATCCAGAGTGTTCGGAACACACTCTTCTGCGTAGGCTGGTCATAACTATTGTTTTTTTGTTACCCATGTTCCAACTGGATCTAATTTTATAAACGGAACCAATGCAACGACGCGACGAGCGAACACTCGTTTAGTTGCTGTCACTTGGCTGATTGATCGATTTATTAGTGATTCCGGGCGCGTTAACAGCTGATATCGTTTTCCCGTAACTCTGGTGCATGTTTTATCGCGGGAGGTAGCGATATTTGCCCGCTGGATGACGAGATCCGGCGCCGACCTACGCCTTGATTGCTGGGTTTTCCCCAACAAAGTATCTCCAACCGTCGCTGCCTGGACAAGCTCTAAGCTCCCGACCGGTCTCCCGGCATGTGTGGTAGCGTAGTGCATATTAGTGTCTGTGTAAGTGGTGAAGATAGCTGACTAGCTAGTGACGAGAAGAACCGCCACCGTCTAATCACTCGAACTTATCCGGCCAGTTAAAACGTAATTGGCGGTGTGAGCCCCTCAACTGTTCTGCTTTCCGTGACGCAGACGCCGTTAAGGACAGCAGGAAAACGCACCAGAAATCCTCCTGACTGCACGTCGCTCATTGCTAGGAACACACGGCTTTCACGTACCGCTCCCATCAAAGGCAACGAAACGCCAAGACATACAACGACCCAACAAAGAAGAGAACGGCGAGAGAGCGCGGCGGTCTTAAGACTGGCTTCTCCTGACTTTTTGTACATGTGTGCCAGACGATGTCATCACCGGTCGCGCATACAGGTTACAGAGTAATTCACGTATATTTCTTGCATTCGCTAACGTTTGAGTTATGAAATTCTCGAAAATACAAAGGTCACCGGAAATGAAACTAGCACCATTTTTCACCGTCCTTTTATACATCCGGGATGCATTTTTTTTTTAAATTTGGAGCTGTTTTGTTGGGGGGAAGTGTAATAAATTAAAAATTGCCTCTATTTCATGCAAATTTACCCGAAAACCACTCATTTTTTTAAAAAAATATACAAAATTTTATTTCAGTTTCACCTTATTTCATATTGTAGCTGTAGGAAGACGCCGAAAAAATTGAACATTTGCAATTTTCGAAAAATCGGAGATTTCAACAAAAGTGAGATCTGCTCCTTTCTCCTAAACGCCCTTTACGCTATCCCAGCACAAAGTTTAATCAAAAACCTGGTACGACTTATGAGAAAATTTTGAAAATGTTGAGGTTTTTTGTAAAGTACCCATAAAAATTTTTAAAAATGTTTCAAAGTCGAAAAATCTCGAGCTTGTTTAGAGGGATCAAGTAAGTATTAATTTTGGAGAAAATCGGTTGAACGGTTTAGGAGGTACCACGAACGGACTGACAGACATTTGGCCGCCAATAGATTTTGCGGTACCAGGGTCCCACAAAACGAGTTCTGACTACAGAACGGAATTTTGACTACACTTAGCGAAAGTATATTACTATATATAGGAATATGATATATCCATTTCTTCGTTCCCAGGACCCGTCAATAAGAGTTTTTGTGCCACAAATTCGCCATTTTCCAGGACAAGATTTCAATACTTTCTCTTCTTACGAAGTAACGTCCCGAAGAAACGCGTCCCGACGCATGCTGAATTTCCACATCGGTTCTGAACTGCCTCCCAATGGCATCACCCCGACGGCAATATCTGGGTTGACTTAGCCAGATTTGTCGAATATACGGTTTATCTTTTTGAAGCGACTGGGAGATGGGTTATTCGAAATATTTTTACTTTCTCGCTACCACTTATTCAAAAAAAAACTCTTATTACAATGCCTTGGTATCGAAAAAGTGGTTAAATCTGATTTCTAAATTTAGAAACAAAATCCTCGCACTAGGGGTGAAGCCAGAATCCATGTTTTGTGCGCCCGTGATACCGAAAAATCGAGTGATAGTAAAACGTCTGTCCGTTCGTCTGTTTGTAAAAACCACTAGCGGCTAAATCGTTCAGGCCATTTCTCCAATATTGATATTCCCCGATCGATCTGGCTGATGTTATCTCTTGAATTTGAAACCTATATTTTAATTTAGGGAGGTTCTTGACATAGTGCTCCAGGAAAATTTTGAAAAAAATAGCTCCAACGTTTTTTATTAAACTTTGTAATTGGATAGTGTGATGGACGTTAAAGAGAATGGCGGAGAATAATCAATTTTTTCGCCATCTTTCTACAGCTACAATTATGAAGATAAAACTTTTTTTCTTAATGAAATGAGTTCATCAAAAACACTTCTAAAAATAATGTCATGTTCAATGTTTTTTTGAAACATTAGTATTTTGTGCTAAATTTTGTGTCAAACACAGTCCATTTTTATTGTCTTTAAACCTTTTTTTTCTTCCAAACGACACACATTAATTTTTTTTTAATTAGATAGCGGAAAGTACGATATCTATTGTGCAGGTCTCGTGGCAGAATGTGCACGTCTCGTGTTTGTTGACATGACTGATTTTTAGAAAATTAAAAACATTTTCTGCGGCGTCCTACAACTACGATTGTGATACAGTTTTTGTAGTAATGAAATGTTTTACTCAAAAACAGATCTTGAAATAAGGTCACGGTGATTTTTTCGAAAATATTAGTATTTTTACTTTCCCATATACGTACGTATATACAGGGTAGTATATTACTCCGTATATACTTGTCATCCAATCGAATGTAGTATGTAATAGCTCCAATGTCCTAATATCACTTCCGCACACTTTTCACAACGCCGTCAATATGGGATCTTGCTCCTCACTATTCCGCGTTGCTAGTAATAATGTTACTTGATTTACAGACACAATATTCCACCATTAATAATCATTCCATACTTTTAGACCCGACCGACGCTATCTGCCACGCATATCCATCCGCCTTGCTCCACGGCCCCCTTCTTACTCTCACGTCATCTTATTTATTTTACCTCGCCGGCGTCCCCATAGATACATTATTATACAGATATTACAAACGGGTTCAACTACCTATTGTCTCTTCTCAATATAATTACAGTCCCGAAAATTCCGATTATTTTCTGTATGTCACAGAATAAATCTCAAAATCTGTGAATTCGAAATCTGTCAAGTCGAAAGTTTACCCCATCCAATGTGGTGAACAAAAAACTTGCCATGGGTGAAACAATAGCCGAAGAAAGCAACACAGCTGTTGTACTGAAGTGGAAACACAAGACAGATGTTGTGGTTCTGAGCACGAAACATAAATATGATATTACTACAGTAATTCAGAGAGGGAAGGAAAAAGAAAAACCACGTATAATAGTTGATTACAATAAGTATAAATCACGCCGTGCAGTCCCTCTGACCGAGAGGTTCGAATCCCGACGGTGGCAGGATTTTCGTCATTAGCTAAGCAACTATGTCGAATTCAGTCGCTGTCTAGAAGATAATTCTAGCGACCAGCTGCTCTTTTAGTAGTTTTCCTAGGTTTCTGCTGTTAAAACCAGGTGAATGCGGGAACAGTACCCTAAGAAACGGGCCAAGGACCGTGCGCGATCTTTCCTTCCCCTATTCTCACCCCTTACGTACACATACTACCACGCTACACTACCACAAATACCGGGAGGCCGGTCAGGACGGTGCCCGCTGGCATGAAACACCTGGTTGGCGAAATCCGACAGTGACGTCTGCGCCGGATCTCACCAGCGGAAAAAGATCACCGCCACCTCCCGAGGAAAAACATGCACTATACATACCGGACTAATGACCTTAGCAATTGGCACTCCTGTAATCACTAACCAATCAAAGAATGAAACAAAATTCTCCACCCAAGAATCAAAATTGCCTCAGGTTCAAACTATCCCGAGTTTCACTGTACCCTACACGAGCAGGCGGTGATGCTTCTCTTGCTTGTGACGGTGCCGCTGTCCGCGTCCCGCTCATGTTTGTCAGGAGCGGTTCTCGGCTGTAGGCTCTCGACAGGGCCGCGCTCCTTCGCCTGCTGCTGACCTCTCGGGGCTCAGGAGCCTCTGTTTGCGCGCCGCTAGCGCTCCTCGCTCAAGTTGAAACGGCGACCTCGTGCGTAGATGTACGCATATTCTCGGCTCACCAGTGAGTCACTCCAGGCGGTGTTTGAAAAATATTGAACACGTTGCCCTCAATTTACCTGCCTGATCTGCTACTTCAATATATTCACTAATATAAGGTATAATTTGAAATGGCAATTGAATATTATTAATTAGAGCATGTCAGTCGTTAAATCCTAATAAAAATCCTAATCCTAAATATCGATTGAATTTTCTTGGAAATATAAACAAATAGCTACAAAGGCACAGATTTTCTCGTGTTAGTTTCCTATACTCTGTCACCGGGGCTATCTTTTTGGGAGGTATTGCGCCCCCCTCTTTCCAGCTGCTACCAATTGGCACCTAAAAGACAATTTTTTTAAAAACATTTTCTCATTTTTTCGTTCCTCTAGTAGCAGAACTGAAATATGAATTAAAGAATATTTTAGAAGAGTAAAGTATGGGCGGACGTTTTGCTGCCAATCGATTTTTCAGTATCAATGATCCACAGAAAAGGGATTCTGCCATGATTGGATTTTTTTTTGTGAGATGATGAGATGAGAGGATTTTTTTCTTAATTAAGCAACTGAATTTTTCCACTTTTTCGTTATCAGGGCCTGTCAATAAAATTTTTTCTGCCGAAAATCCGCCGTTTTTCTGCACAGCATTAAATAACTCCCTATACTACGTATATTACTCCGTATATGCGTAGGTATACGGAAAAGTAAAAACGGAAAATGCAATGTTTCAAGCGGGGAAGAGAGAACTGTGCCAGCGGTCTACAAGATCGGATTCGAGTAGAATGAACTCAGAACCTGAAATCGAACCCGCATGCCCCCAGTACATGCCCAATTGCTCTAAATAAAATCTACTATCTGCCTCCTTTAAAAAATAATGGCTCAGCAGAATTTCTGGTCTGTTGTGAGCATTGAAAATGGTTTTTCAATTCACCAAAACATCTCTCAACAGCATTTCTTGATTTCTCATTTTTCACAGTATATTTTTTTATATTATTATTTTTTTTATGGAGTGAATAAATTTTGCAAAGTAGAAGCTACCCAAAAATCTCCCTTGAAATATCTCACCTTCAAATTTTTTATTTTAAGATTGATACACTCAAAATCTGATAATGACATGCCATACATCTTCATATTTAATTATTCATGAATAACACCATTTTTTATTTTAATAAAATAAAACAATATCCTCGATTTTATCAATAAGGCATTATACACATACACATTTAAGGCTGAAACACTAAGCTTTCATCATTTTGAACATGGATATGGGTGCAATCTCTACAACCAATCACAGTTCTAAATAAACATATTTTCAAAAACATTTTAGTCTTTTGTTTCACTACTTCCAAAGATAAGCATATTGACATATTTCCTTTCCCTCCAAAATACTTAATACTAATTGTTTTTACATTTTCTCAATTTTCCAGTCTGTCAATAGTTACATTGATATGAGATTTTCATAATATTATAGAAGAGCAAAAACAGTTTGTATCAAGACATTTCTAAGGAAAATTTGGGAGGCGGTTTTTGAGAAAATTTTGTTTGAAAATGACTAAACATGGAAAGAAACTTCTTCTAATTTCATGAGGTCATATTAAAATTATTCAGGAAATTTGCAATCACTCAAGACCCTGAATACTATTTTAAAATTTGAGCATTTATTTTTAGCCTCTTTGAAGTATTGACATTAATTATCAAACCATTTCTCCTCTACTGTTTTAATACGAAAAACACTGTAGCAAATATCTACCAAGGGAATGTCAATTTCCGGATCATTTCCACTTTCCAGAAGCTTGCTTGCCTGTTTTTTTTCTTCACCTATTTTCACTTGATTTAACAGTACTCTAAATATTTTTTGACACCAGCCAGTGTTTTGTAATAGTTTTTCCAAGCCAACCGCTACATATATTTCTTTAATCCTTGTATCTAACTCATGATATGCTTTTATCGCATGTTTATGTTCTAATAACAAATCGAGTATTATTGACACTACTTTAATCTGAAAACAGTAAGAAATTAAAGAGAAAGAGTAAGGATTAGAAAAAAAAGAATTAAAACAGTAAAAAAAAGTTAAATTAGTAGTATCTTATTAATACCACTTACTAGTATTCTGTGATTCTCCCAATTTCTTTCAAATACCTCAGAGAAAATTAAAAACCCATTACTTTTAACAAACAATGCCTGTGCTTCAGGAAAACTTTTAGTAAGGTATTCCAGAGAATAAAGAGAATGGATCTGAACATCAGAGTTTGTATCATTCAATACTCTTTTTAAAAGAATAGGAATTGCTCCTCTCCCTAAGGCTGTTATTTGCACAAATGGGCAACTTCGCAAAGCCCAAGCTAAGACGTGGGCTGATTCTTTGTGCAATTCACGCTGCGAACTATTCAGCATGGGAAGCACAATATCTGAAACACTTCAATAAACAATAAAAATTTGTCTATTTCTTGAAGACGAAACTCTCGTTAAATACCAATTTATAACAAGATATAACAAACCCTTTTAATTTATTAAATAGTTTTGCATTCTTAAAGTCACGCACTAAATATTCTAAGCATGACAGCATCAAAGACATATTTTCTGATGTGTGTTCATTATTTTTCCACAACTTTTTTAATTCAATAGTGAGGTTGCGGGTAATTTGCCTTTCAGTTGCATTACTCATATTTGGTTCTTGAAGTACAAACTGGCATGCCTCAGATTTGTTCCTGTTTGCATGCACTAGCTGTAAAACAAATTTAATAATTATAATAGTTAAGTGCTATAAATAAAGTTCTGTTCCAATGTGAAATATATTACCTGATTATAAATGCCTTTTTCATTGGCTTGAAGTTCTGAAATCATATAATTAAGAGCCATCAACAGTTCTCCAGCATCCTCTTCTTCCTCATCATCATCGTCATCATCGATGTCATCATCAGGGTCAGCATCACTATTTTCCTTAGTGTCAAGAATCTTAATTGGTGACTTCAAAGTTGAATGTGGCAAATTACTTTTTTCTCTTTCTTTTAAATCAGCATTACTGAAGAATACTACTGATTCCTTGCGATCTGTGAACAATGCAATATACCAAATATGAATAACAAAAGTTTTAAAACAGAATTAATATATAATTTGAATTATTTTTTATTGTTGTAAAGTTTATTCTTTAATTATGTGATATATTGTTGTACTTGCTTGTAGAAGAGGTAAAGAATACCTTTTTCCTATGTTTCTCCTGAGATTCATTCAAGACTGATTTGCTCCTATGATTAACATTTAAAAGATATATACAAATACTCAATACAGGAATTGCGTTTGTCCAACTGACACTTTACAATAACACTTTTTTTTTTTACAGAAAGTTATAAGGAAAGAAATATTTTAGGTTAAATATTAGTGTTATAATTTCTTAAAAATTGATTTGCCTTCTTCTATTTCTCAACTGAAAACTACTTTTGCTAACAGCTTTTATCAGGCTATTTGTCCAATGTCTCATTCGTAAATGGATAATTATTGTTATACATTCCCTTTCTCTCAAGTACTACAAATCATAATTGATTCTCTTCCAATTTATTTATAGGGTACTTCTCCAATAAAAACAAATGTACTAATACATTGTTATAGGTACTACATTAATTATATCATCTAATGAACTGTTTTCATTATTGTACCTGCTATGCGTGGACTGAACACCCATTGATTTGAAAGGATCTAGTTTAAGTTAGAAGTCAATATAGGGGAATGTTTCACGTTCGTCTCGAATCAGCACGCACTTGCAATTGATATGTAGGCATTGGCGATTAGGAAACTGCTCTCATTCACAGTACTGCTGTGCTGTTGACCGGTTAGAAATGAAAAGTGTGAAAGAATGAAAGAAAATGAAAGTGAATAAAATAATTTGCTTGTAGTCGCTCTCATAAATGCAAAAATACTTTACTTTCCTGAAAGAAAAAAGTTCCTAATTGTTATCAGTTCTGAACGTTATGCCTTCTGTGATCAGATTTCGATGCCAGAAACATAACTTTTCCTGACTAATGTTTTTAAATGCCTAGTTAAATCATTTTGTAACCTATTTTAAGAAGCCAAAATTTCACTTTTCATGCATAATAGAGCCTAATGACATAATTTTGTTACCAATTTTAGGTACCTAAATCATCATTGTTTGTGCCTAAAATGTCGGTCTACTAATTCATTGTATGTAGAGAAAATGTAAATAAAAAAAAATTGGGACGACTTTTGAGATTTTTTAAAATTGCCTTTATTTTGCACAAAATTACACAAAAACTACTTATATTTTCGAAAAGTTGAACATGAACTTTTTTAATAAACTTTATTTAAGGAACAGATTCCATTTAGCAAACAATTTATATATTTAATATTACAGTTGTAGGAATACGCTGAAAATTTTTTGAATTTTTGTAATTTTCGAAAAATTACAGATTTTGACGAAAATGAGGCCTGCAGTAATCTCTTTAGCGTTCATTATCATATCCCACGACAAAGTAATAAAAAAAAGAATTGTCAATTTTTAAAAAAAATTGAAAATGTCGCAGCGATTTCATGTAAAGCTCTCCCAAAATTAAAATATCGGCTTCAGATTCCAGGGACCGCGACATCAGCCAGTACGATTGGAGACATCAATTTTGAAGAAAATCGGCTGAACGGTTTCTGCGCTAGCGTCTTGCACGGGTGGACGGACAGACATTGACGTTTTGCCGTCAATCGATTTTTAGGTATCAACGCACAGAACATAGATTCTGGCTACACCACAAGTTAGAGGAATCTTTTTCTATATTTAGCAACTGGATTTATCAACATTTTCGTTACCAGAGCTCGGCAAATAACATGTTGTAACATATATAATATATATCATAATTTTTCCGATCTTCAAATTTATATTATAAAAGATTTAC